TTCTGGTTTAACAGATGATTCCGATGTCGTGGTAATTAAATTCGAAGGTGAGTAAATATGGTCACTGAATGACATTGCCGTCACCGTAGTATGTTCGCTATGAGCATTAGTCGAACTGTCATCAGTATTGCCATAATTACGCTGAACCTGAAATCTTAATGATGAAAAGGTCATCGTACATCATGACTGACAACAAATTCTCCTACAGGAACTTGTAAGTTGCAGATGGTACTCCAGATATTTTCCTTTCTTTGATGTAAAGGATAAGACTCCACAACTGAATGAATTGAATGAGTTAATAGTGAATTTTTATAGAATCACACCTTTTTCTTTTCTTCTTTGATTTTATAGCTTTTAGCTTTAGGCTTGAATATCGATTATTCAGATCAAGAAGAGAGGCCTTTATTCTCGTTTTTTTTTTTTTTGTCTAGCTGCATTAAAGAGAATGCAACATATCACATATTATTAAACAAAGGTTATAGAAAAAATTAGCACAGAGATGACCTTTTCCGTAGAAGCAAGCAATTGTTGCGTATTACTTTGATCAGCAAAATTCACATCACTGGCATCATTACTATGCCAAACATTTGTTGAAACAGTTCTCGATTCCGTTCCACTTCCTGAATTCGGTGCTGGACCACTAACCAGCGTGATGAAAGCATTTGATGATCCTAATCCGTTAGTCCATTGTAACGTCCGACCATTATCGGTCGCTTGTTCGCCTCTGCAAAATTAAAATTGACAAGATCAGAATTTTTTTTCAAAAATTTTAAAAGAAACAGAAATGGTTAATCTGCTTGAAAAATGAAATAGTACTACAAAAATAACAGAAAAATTTGCTGGAATATGGTGAAAGTTACACTACTCTTCTTCAATCGTATCCCTGCCATTGTGTCCTGCTGTACCGGTCTTTTCCACCCTAAATAGCGCAGCAGTTAGCAAATAACATCATCGAATTCATGCGGATAACCGGCCGGAAAGCAGCTGTACCAATAGTTGATGGGCAAATGAATGTCGAAACGATCATGAATGAAGTGTTAAAATGTCCTAATAGAAATGCAGCTGCATATCGGATATGATATGACCGCATATCGGATCTCCTGATTTCCTGACGCGGGAGGATATCGGGATTGTAGGCATGATTAAACCAATATGAAGCTACGTGGTATGCAAACTTTTGCTCAAACTTATCGTAGTTACAGATTTCGATGGTTGTATTATAGGTTGGCCTAATCCTTAGCTTATTTCAACCTTCCGCCATCCGGTTGCTATTTTTATGCCGTAATTAGGCTGCTGTTAAACCGGAAAAAATGTGACAAATTCCAATCTTCATTTTTTAAGCAGTTAATAGCAGTACTGATGAATCGCATACGATTTACAGTAAAGTATGATATGGTTAGACAAATAAAAATAAAAGTAAGATACAGAAGGAACTTACGAAGTATTGCCAAACTGACCGGTCCTTTCATCGGGAGCTTTCCTTGTTGGCATCATCGAAAGTCAAAGTGAACTCACACAACAATAATAATTTTTTACAATAATAGTAACCTGTAACAGTAATCTCCTTGCATTTTGAATTTTAAAAATTTGCAAAAATTTATTGCAATTTTTAAAATTCATAATTTAATGAAATCAAATGGTCGTAACAATAATAACAATAGCAACAACAATAATAACGCCAATAACAACAACAACAACAACTACTACTACTACTACAACTACAACTACTACCATTAATACTCGCGCAACCGCAAAGCAGCAACAACCGCACACGCTACGCTGTCGCCAGCCACATCGACAACATCGCAATGACGCGCGCGCTGCACACTGCAGCTGCATCGCTGCATGCCTAACTACTGGCACTCCAATCGTATCATTCTCCGCCCATCGTTTAACGATTACCGTTGGAACGTTAGTTATGGCATAAAGATGCGCAACGGGAAGAGGGCCACGGGTCACGTTTTGGAATTTTGGCGGCTTCTTAAAATATTGCGTTTGCGTTTACACGCTTCCATAGGTCAACTGAGCCACGTCCATACAAAAGTTCATTCAAGCTAACGCGTATAAGTCAGTAAGGTTACGCTTAGATTTAAGGATTAACTTGCTTTCAAACACACACACACACACACTTCATTAAAATCCAGTCAAGATCATCAACTATGGTTTCAGGTCAGATAAGTAAGGCTTATACTTTTTAGTGATTAAGGTTAAAGAGTGATATTTGAAACTTATGCTTTGAGATATCCCAAATATATAACTATAGCAAAACTATTGTTTACTTATTGTTAAGGCTTTGTTATTATTATTATCAATGCTCTGTTCTCCCTCTCTCTCTCTCTCTCTCTCTCTCTCTCTCTNTNTATATATATATA